TTTTCACAGAAGTATGACAGTAGCTAATTGTGTTCACTGTGATTTTCAAGCCAAACGTCTTCAGACTGACTTAGTGAAGAAGCTACAGTCGTTGTATCAGCATGGCTTGTTTTCAAGAGGCTGCTCTGCTTGGAAACAACTGCTACTACTCGTATTCTTGCATTACAGGTCAAGGTCTTTTTTTCCCGGGTTTTATCTGTAAGTTACTTCCAGGGACTGGGAAGTATAACTAAGAAAAGCAAGCCTGTCACGTGTGATTAAATTACATAGGTGTGAAAGGGTCTGCACCTTTATTGGTAAAAGATTGAAAATCACTGCTAGTGTGTCTTCAGTAGTACTGTCAACATGTAACATAACAATACCAAACCATTAGTAGAATACATTAAACTTAGTTGCATTTTTACAACACTAAAACTGGAGTGATTAAGCACTGGAACAGGTTCCCCAGAGGTCATTTGGTGCCTTTAAACTTAACTGGACAGGATCTTGAGCAACTTGACCTCAAGGCTTTTAATTACCCTTGCTGTGAGCAGGAGGTTGGATGGGAAGACTTACAGAGGTCACATCCAACCGAGGTTATTTTGTGAGTCTTTGATCTTTGCACCACAGGCAGTTCTCAGCTGTACGTGAACACTATAAAAACATCCTGATGGGTCTTGAAATGCTTTCTGTTCTGGTGTGTACTGAGGTGACTGAACATCCTCTTACAGCCTTAATCTTGCTGCTGCTCTTTGTTGTGACTGTTGGCCCACTATGTTTTAATGTCTGTAGTCTGTAATTTCTTAGCTTTTCACAACCCATGTCAACCACAAGCAGTCTAGTGTGATGGCTCTTTCTTGTAATGAGATGTACCACTGCTTGCATTGGTGTGCTTTACTGTTTTTGAGAAACACTGAGTTACAGCAAGTCATTAACTTGACAGGCTACTGCTGCAAATGTTCACACCAGAAGCTGATCAGAGTGCATGAATATCTGCTGCCCAGTTGGAAACGATCAGTGACTGCTGTGATCACATTCTACAAATGTGCAATGACTACTTGTGGCTACCTCTTGCAGGCAGAAGGTGTTTTCATGATCCTTTTGTTGATACCACCTATGTGTGTCCAAGGATGAGACCAACTCTGCCAGTGAGGCAGCCAGTGTACAGCTGACACCAGGCTTATTGCTTCATAGCTAATCAGTTTGAGGGGTGTGGCATATCTCTGGAATCAATGGCATGTCATCCAGCTGGAGGTTGACTGTGGAAAAAATAAAGGGAACTGAAGGGGTTTGATTTTCATCTCCATGGCCCATCAATTTTTGGTGGGATACCTTACTTCTTTCCCCTATGCACCTTTCCCAAATATATAGGTATATAAAAAGAACAAGGTCCTCACCAAAACTGTTACACAAAGCAGTCGTGACAACTTCAAAATCCTCCACCTGAAAATGCAGTAATAAATTTCAGTAGTAACAAATCAACTGACCGTATCAGAGAAAAGATACTGATTACGTTGGGTATTTAATGGCAGTCCTGGTCAATTCTGTGAAATTCCTGTCTGTGAAATCTGAGTGACTTCTTGTGAGGAGTTAGTTACATACAATTTTAAAGAACCCATGCTTTTAAATGCAACATTCTTTTCAAGAATGCAGTGAGAAACTGAGATGGGTGTATTAACTGACTTCAAAATTGACAAAGTGAATGTTCATTCAGAAAATGCAGTAGAATACTCAAATTATGATATTTATGTAAATGTTCTCAGTTGCTGCAATTTTGTAATTAAAGTTGAAATTTTTTTAAAAGTTGAATTTATGTGGCTAGGAATCATAATGAATACCAGTAGGTGAAGATTATGGTTCATATATTTTTGCAAATTTTAAATTTTGCTGGTAAGTTTGTAAAGGCTGTGGATGATTAAGTATTTTTACCACCTGTCTCGCAGAAGCTGAATAGCATGAAGCTTGGCACCACTGCTCTGTATGATGAAAACGAAAAGTGGCTGAAGTAAAAGGAGTTGGATTTCATTGTCCTTCTCCCCCCAAAAAAACACTTTATATTTTTCCTCTATTGTCCCTCTGATAATATAAATATATATATATATAGTGGTGTAACAGTGGAATTCGTAATTATATGTTCTAACATGTGAAAGCCTCATCACAGTCGGTCAACACTAGGAATTTGCACAATGCTAATGAATAAGTTAAAACGTAATTGAACTCTAGGCTTGGTAGGCCTCAAAACAACACCTACTTTAGATTCAGTGAAATTGTTCTCTAACATGTAAATTAAGGTCTACTCATAAGGTATCCAAATGTACGTTAAATCTACTATGATTATTCAAAATGAGGACACACTCTTTTTGTGTAATATTATTCTGTCTATTCATGGGGTACATGCTGTTTCAAGGTTTTAGATACAAACATCGTCATCAAGTTACAGCAGTTACTGGTTTACACAGATAATTCAGTCAGTGCTTTTGCTGCTAGCTACGATAGGAAGCAACACATAGGGAGCCCTTTCTTGACACAGATCACTGTCTTCTATACCTTGAATTCAAGTGTGTAATTCCTGCCAAGCCCACACATTTCTGTGGGTAGTCCTGTTGGGGGGAGGTTAGTGGAGCTGGTCTTGTTTTGGAGGGTTGAGAAGGCTTCTTGTACAGATAGTGGGACAGCTGCTGAGATTGGATGTGATGCCTTCATTACAGCTGTAAAATGGCCCACGCTTGCTCCTTTTTTTTTGTCCTTAGATTATCAGTTTAACAGTGAGATGATACTGGAGAATCGAGAGAAAAGGCTGTTAGCAGAAGTTTTGAACAAAATCTGGCCAGTTGGGCCCAAAATTAAGTCTTTGCCTGTTGCAATGTAAGGGAGAAAATGGCAACTTTTATACCTGCAGCTGAATGCCAGCTGACTGTTTTGTTGTGGTAGTATGGTTAATTCAAGGGTCCCTTTTTACTCATGTGACAAGTCCAGTTATGATTAAATTATTCATATTACTCTGTAGGTTATAGGGACAGAAGTTTTACTCTACACTTAGTTGTAGAGCATTTGAGAAGTAACTGTGAAGCTTTCTTTTCATCAATCAGTCATGCTTTAACTTTTTCTGTAAGTTACCAGAAAGATTAGTAGTTAGCCTGACAACTTCTGAAGAGGTGGTTGCAAAAAGAAACAGAATTATATCTTGACTTGTGAGAGTTACATCATAGTTCTTGGGCAAAGGTTAAAGCTTCAAGGAGTAGCTGTCAGTCTGGCTATATTACTTTGACTCTACTTAAAAAAAAAAATGAAGTTTTTTTTGATAAAAATATCCCATGAAATATAAGTTATTATTTTGGTTATTTTAAACCAGTTGAAAAGTGTGACATGGGTGATACTGATATTTAGTAGATAATCTTACAGTACAAGAAGACATGCCTGCATTCTAGATGTCCCCTGTTTTGGCAAGTAGCCAGCATTGATGAAGGTAAAGTAATGCTTGTAGAGTGGGTGGGGAAAATCTAGTATGGAGCCCATTACTCAGACTAGATATGATCCCTCCAGAAGGGTCTTGGAACTGTAACAGAACTATGAAAACATCTGTTTAATATTCCATAGTGAAAAGGGAAATAAAACTCTTTGACTTACAGGGAAAGAAATAGAGAGCAAAACAGAAAACAGTATTGTTGTGACCCTGTGTTCAAAAGGATAACGAACTGGATTAATGAAACATAAGTCTCATCCCCAATCGCAGAAGGATGTAGTAGGACTAGGTAGGATCCATGAGAGAGTGACAAGGCTAATTAAAGTGTGGAATGATATATTTTTTTCATGGTACAAGAATGACTTAAAACTAGTGTCACTTCCTGAACAGCAGAGAACTTACAGGGCAAAAAAGTGTGACAAGTATCTATACAAGCACATGCAGCAGGGAGAGGCAACTATGAAACCGTTAACACAGCCTCCTAGTGTAAGAAGGAGGGACAGTCAACTGAAACTAGCAGGTGGCAAACTTTCACACAGGTAGCTAACTATTCACAGAGCATGTAAGTGAATAGTGAAATACAATCCTGACCAGTGTTGTGATGCCCAAGAGTTCACATGGGTCTGAAAAGTGATTAGTTAAATCCACAAAGGAAAAATCCAACATGTGCTGTAAAACATGTATGCTGGCTTAGGGGAGCTTTAAGCTCCAACTTGACAGTTGCTGGAGTTATACTCCCATGTTGTAACCGTGTACTCTTGTATTCTTATCTAGGCATCTGGTGCTGCTGGAGAGTAGATCCTGGGCTAGACAGCCACTGGTCTGTCCCATTACAGAGCTTTTAAGCTACATGTCCTTATGACTTGACTGCTAAATAAATATTCTTCAAAGGCTCATAGGATTCTAGGGTTAGGACACATATATACTAGAAAATATGCTAGGGAATGTTCCCAGTGACTGAAGCAATCTGGTGTAGAATAATCTTGATCTCTTATTAAAATATCTCGGTTTGAAAACAGGATGATTTCAAGTTGCCAACTGGGAACAAGCCTAGCTCATGTGAATTCTTAAACCATGCCCAAGAATTTTAGGAGTTTGCTAGTTGGCATCAGCTAAAATCATGCCAGAGATCATTTGAACAATTAAGCAATGTAGACAGTTGTGTTCCAGCACCCAGGAGTGTTTCCAGGCACTGTTAATTTACAGTTCTAGCCTGAGTATTGCATTTCTATCCAGTTTGAAGTACTGAATAGAAAGAAATTTAGTTGCACGGTAGGGCTTCTCTGTGTGACCACTATAGTTACTGGCCTGCCCCTTATGGGCAAAGTCTCTTTGCTGATTTGATGATCAAGAACAAAAAGTTCAATTGGGTTCTTAAACTGTCTAAATCTTGTGTAGAAGTGATCTGGGGTTGTTTGAACTTTACAGTGTTACCACCTAGGAATTATTAAAATTGCTGCCTAGAACAAGGAACAAAATTAAAAGATGCTTGGATAAAAGATGAAATGTAGAATTTGTGATTTTTACCTTAGAAGTAATAGCTACCTTTTCCTTTTAGACGATGTCATCAGCAGTTGTTCAAATATATGCAGCAGATCGCAATGCCATGTGGTCAAAGAAATGCTGTGGTGTAGCTTGCCTTGTAAAGGACAATCCGCAGAGGTCGTATTTTATCAGAATATTTGACATTAAGGTAAGTGTTTTTTTTTTTTCTTTTACAGACTTTAAGCTTGGTTGTATTCATTCTCCATTTTGAATTGAATTAATGTAGGTTGTCGTAGCTGCAAACTCAGAAATTCTCAAGTAAATCGTTGCACTTCAAGTTGTGCAATTACAGTGCTTATTAATAGGCAAGTGCAACTTTCTCAGGTGTTCATAGATGTCATCTTTTATGGATGAAATAAATATCAGATACAATTTTCTTACAGCTCATAGAAGCTGTCCTCTAAAAATCTGATTAGTCAAACTAGTGAAACTTAATATAGTGTCACTGATATGGGTAGCTGACAAAATTCTAACAGGTGTTACTACTTTGGATAATATTAAATAGATGCCCTTTTATGTACTTGTGAAAACAATCTTTTTGATTGTTTTGGTGCATATGAAAACTGCAGGACAAAGTTGTTTGTTTGTTTGGGTTTTTTTCCCCCCTCCAAAATATACACATTCATACTGAAGGTCTTTGTCCTATTATAATATTTCACTCAAGGCAGTGGGAACTGAGAAATAAAGTGTCCAACATGTATTTTCATAACAAAAATGATACTGAGAAGCATAAGTCCTACTGACTTTGCTGAGTCTTTGGACAGCTTCCCATTACCTCTGTAGCCAGGAACAACTTGTTATCTGTCAGCTATTCAGTGCTTGAAGTCTCTCAGATTTACTGAAGATTGCCAGTTGTCGATTGCATTTGACTTTGTGATCTGGCCACTTGAGTATTAGACTTAGTGAGAAATCTCTTCCTTGGGTGCAGAGCTATAATGCCATTTACGTATATAAAACTTCCTAAAAAGGTGAGATCTTTTTGGTCCCTTTAACTATTATCAAGTCAAGCTTGAAATAACAACCGGAAACTGGAAGTTTCCTTTTTTGCTATTACTGTTATCACTATATTCCTATCACTGGTCACTATTACTGCTCCCAGTATCACTACTGCAGGATTGTAGAACATCAAGAATGTTTTTTGAAAACATCCAGGAATTTGAACAGAATACAGTGACCTGATGGAATAGTCTTCCACAAGTTCCAATATGTTTTTGATTTTCATTGAGCTCACTAATTAGGTTAATAGCAAGGGCGATGCTTAATGCCATGCAGCTTCCAACTCTTAATAGTCTCTGTTGTGAAAGAAGTTAAACTCTGCAGTTCGTCTAAGTTTTTAAAAATATTTTTTTTTCTTCTTTTCAGGATGGGAAATTATTGTGGGAGCAGGAGCTGTACAATAACTTTGTATATAATAGTCCTAGAGGATATTTTCATACCTTTGCTGGAGATGTGAGTCTCAACATTTTTGAATATCTATTTTAAAATGCCTCTTATTTGAACAGTAGCTTATTTTAATGTAACTGAGGTTTTTATTTCTTTCTGTAAATTATTTATAAAAATACAATATTACCTGTGTTCCTTGAAGCTTTTTAAGCTTATTTATAAAAGGATTTCTTTTTGTATCACAACTAGAAAACTTAATCTGTAGGACAGCAGCATAAAATGCAGGTTTTTATTTTCAACTCCCTTTAATGAAATTATATTTTGACTTGCAGATGATGTTTGTGAAGTATCATATATTCTTAAAGCACAAATTTTCCTCTACCCTCTTTGATTTCAGCTACAAGATTTTGCGCAAATTTGTTAGCCATGATATTTAGAAACTTGATTAGTAGACAGACATTCCTAAGAATGCTTCACTAAGACTTGGTTCCAAATTTGCAGTGATGATTTTTTCTGATTATACCTTCAAAAGGTGTAAGACGACACTTAAGAAAGCCTTTGAATCATTTTCTTAGTCATGGGTGGGGGAATATTAATGTTTTTCAGACATGTCAAGTTGGTCTTAATTTTGCTAATGAAGAAGAAGCTAAACTATTCCGCAAAACAGTAACAGATTTACTTGGACGACGGCAGAGAAAATCTGGTAAATATTCAAATTAATCTTAAATTCAGGCTTGTTTATTTTGTTTTGGGGGGAGGCAGGAAACTACTTCTATGTCTGAAAGCTACTGGAGGCACTATTGCCATATTTATCTTTAGAATTAACTGTGTTATTAAAGCGTGCTTCTTTTCTCTATTGTGCAAAAATAATATTTTTCTGAAATACATTAACTTGATGCTCATTGCTGTAAGCTTCCTTGTAAGCTGAGACTTCAAGGTTGTGGTGTTTGAAAATATAGATCAAGAGGAAGTGGAAAATGGTAAGCTGTTAGTGGGAAAATTAGAAGTCTTTCTGTAAGCTGTTTTCACATTTGACTAAACCCTCTTAGCTCTGGGCTGTTTATAACTGATTTGTTTAAATTCAGCCCAAGTGGGTTGTAACAAAGATTTTACCATCTGGTATGTTCAGTAGTTCATGTGAATTAATTTTTGGCACTTGTCCAGTGTTTAGTAGAGAAATATCTTTTATTCAAAACTAGTGATCTTGACAGAGGCCAAGAACAGAAGACATAATGTGCCTATACTGTCCTTAGCAGCGCAGGACAGTCTGAAGCACAGCAAGCTTTTTGCCAGCTGCAAGATGCTGTAGGAACATGGTCGGTGTTTTAAAGGGAGCTCAGGCTTCCCACAGATCTTATTTTGGCCCTTTTCCAGGGAGCCCATAAACAACTTCTCTGTCTGACAGCCACTTGTCCATGAAGGATCAGGTGATATAAAACTATGCTGGGAATACATGGATGTGCTCAGGTTTTCTGTAAGCTGTAGCGCACGGACTTGTGTTCAAGCTACAGGATGCATTTTTGTACTCCATTCTGGAATTGGATTGCCCTAGCAATGCAATGTAGACTAATGTAAAGGGAGGAAGTCCTCGTATTGGAGTGCTATCCTTGCAAATATTCTTGGGAACCTACATGATCTATATGTATTCACTTGGATTTCATTCAGGTATGGTGACTCAGGTGCAGAACATTTGTTCTAGAAGGTTAAATAGATTCCTTATGATTCCTTCTGCTCGGAATTAGAATAAGTTCATAGGGTTTCATGAGAAGTAGGGCCATTAAGAAATGGCATTAATAATGTTTTTCATACTTGTTGTGTAAAAGTAGTCTTGCATCAGCTTGCGTCTCCTGTTCCTGAAGTTTCACTCTACTATGTGTCTAAAACAACGTGCTATAGTGCAGAAGTGACTTGGGAGGAAATATGTTTGCATTATTGGCCATAGCAAGCTTTGTTTGAAAACAGTGGGTTCAGTCAAACCTCCTGTTCACAGGATAGAGGTTCACAGAGAGGTTTTTTCCACAGGACCACATAAATTTTTCTTATTTACTCTGAGATACCTTGGTTTGTGTGCTCAAACTCATATTGTAGGATGAGCATATTCCATACACTATCTTTTAACAAGCGATTTCCCCTCCCCAAAAACAACTTGAAAGGAAAAAAAAAAAAAAAAACAAAAAAAACCCAAACAAAATAAAAACACAAAACACAAACCGAAACCTCCCAAGTTGTTTTTTTCTGAAGAGCTACAGAACAAGAATTGAAAACAATTGTGAGATTCTTTAGTCAAGCCACCAGATGGAGTTTTGTATTTGTCTTCGATGCAACTGTATCTAATTGTGCCTCTAAAATAACAGGCTTTGCACTGCCCAAGTCAAAGCTGATTTGCTGTTGGTGTTTATGTATTTATTAATATAAAAATGTATATAAAACATACTGATTTATACATAGATTTATATACAATACATATAGTATATTATTTATAATGTAAATATAAGTTCTGTATTCTAATGCATCTTAACTTCTCAAACATGGAGGTGATAGTCTGGTAGTTTTAATGCTTTTCTGTTTTAATGGGATTTTTACTCCCATGCCTTTCAAAATATGTTTCATTTCATAGCAGTGCCACCTGACATGCCTTCAACTGAAATGAGTACTCCATGTGATCACTTAGCAGCCTGTTCTGCCATTCAGGCCTTGCTAGGAGACTTTTCCAGGAGTCCTATGGAAAGCTTATGTTGTTGGAAGGTAGCAAGAACAGCAGTTCTGGCTCACTAAACTATGTCTTGGTGCCAAGACTGGTACACAAAATATTGTCTAACAGCTGCAAGAATAGGCAACAGTATTCTGCTCTTCCTTACTCGGCATGAAATGCACTTCAGTATACAGACAATTCCGGAGTAAGTGCATCTGGAATTCCAGAGGTGAAAGTTTGGCTCCAAATAGAGAATGTACAAAAGCTTGCAAATGTACAAAGTATCTAATAGAGAACAGAATAAGGGAGAAAGGCAGAGAAAGAATTATTGATGTGTTCTTTTAATCTTATTAATATCAGGCTGGCTTTCATCTAGCTACGTTCTGGGGTTTTTTTATTATTTTTAAAGTAAATTAAATTTTTAACCTTAGGAAGAAATTACTATATTTGGTTAATTTCTCTGGTGGGTTTACTTAAATAATCTCTCCATTTACTACTTAAACTGATCCCAAATAGTTCCCCTGGTAAGCGAGGTGAACATAGTGTTTCTCTTCTCAGTGCTTGTCAGTGTTGTGCATTCTTCACTTTCAGTATTCTTGCACATCGGTGCCATTAGTTTTTATTTTTATTATCTTGCCTCAGAAAAGTTAATGTACACACACACACGTGTCCTCTCCACATGCTTAGCACTCAGCCATAAACGGGCAGCAGAGACTTGTAGAACAGAACCTTGTTCTTAACTGCCTTTCTGAAGTAAGAGGCATCTTAAATAATTTTTATGGACCTCTTGTAGCTCATGGGTGGGAGCTCTGTTAGTCCTCTCTGAAAGCTGCCTTTTTCCTCCACAAGCTTTTAGCTCCTGATGCCCTTCCTAATGCACTTCACAAGCTTCAGGCTGGATACTTAATGTGGAGAGTTTTAGGGTTTTTTTGGTCTTTGGTCACAGCTTCTGGTTTTGCTTCTTGGGAGACAAGAGCATCTCTGAAGTGCTCAGCTTGCATTGGATTCAAGTCTCAGTAGAGATCATTCTTGTTTCCAGGAATACTTATTGAAGGACCCAGTGTTTTTTTGAATGTAGGCAGCTGGTGAAGTTGATCTGTTTTGGATCAGTAGGCATCTCCACCTTCAGAAAAGGAGTAATCCACCACTCTCCAGTCAGGCCATTTGCACTGCAAAGCAGGAGTTCATATTTTCTAGTTAGCAGTGGGAACAGCAGCAAAAAAGATCTAGGATCTTTGGGCCACAAATTAATCTTTTATATACACAGAAAAAAATTACATGAAGCCTTTAAAATGTCTTGCTTTGCTTTCCACTGTCTTTTCTCTTGAACTCTTCTAATGAAAATTGTAATGGCTTCCCATGATTTGGCATAAGGCCACTTAACACTTCCTATGAATATCTCCTACTTTTGCCAGCTTCCCATTCTGTGCCAAATGACTTTCAGTCCTGCACTCTCCTTTGCTGTCTCTGAGTTGTTGAATAAAACTAATTATGTTCCAAAAGTTGAGTTTGGGTTTGAGTTGTTTTTGGTTTTTTTTTCATGGGCTTTGTTTTTTTTGTTTTGTGGGTTTTTTTGTTGGTTTTTTGTTTGTTTTTTTTTTTTTTTTTTTTTTGGCAGTACAACATGAGTGGTTTCTTAAACTGAATATTCTAGGAAGAAAAAGCGCAGTATTTGGCCAAAAAGAGCTTTTTATACTTTTTTTTTTTTTTAACTCTTCCTCAGACCTGATGCCTTTTGCTGAGTCACCTTTGCAGAGGTTCTCCATCTCTGTGCCTAAAACTAACCTGCTGCGAGCTAAGAGGCAACTGTCTGTCTTTAGGAGGTTTGCTCAGCAAAAGTTGATTCTCAAGAGATTTTGGCCACCTTCCTCAAAAGATTTGATTACCTTGACAGCTTCTTTATTCCTACCTGAAGATCAGCTGACTGATACAAGTCTGGCTTGACTTGTACACTTAAGATTGTAGATTTTTAAAAATAGTTCCAGGCCAAGGTTAACACCATCCGTGGAGGCCCCTTCTTACATTTTTGTTTCTGGAGCTATGATTTGTTAAGTTAACAGTTTTTCTGGGGCTTGCTGGAAAGTGAAATGTCTGTTACAAATTCTTATTACAAAACTGTTGGGAGTCCCTGTTAGACTTCAGATACTCCAGATCTGAAATGGAGGGATGTACAGCCTTCCTTATAGAGCCATGTTTTTTGGTGTGGTGAGATGACAAACTGCTTGCCTATATAGATACTGCTAAATCCACGATTCTTAAGAGTGTGTGTATAGGTGCACAAATACTGTAGCTGTGTACTGGGGGTTCTGAAGGATGGTTGCCGGGTAGGAAAATATTATTTGTGGTGAATAGGAATTAATAGTAAGTGAGGGAAATCTTCTTTAAAGGATGATTTAATATTATAGCCTGAGAATACTGGGGTGTGAAATGTTTACAACTTCATTTTAAATCATCAAGCCAAATTCTTTGTGGTCTGTGAAACAGTTTGGCATTGTGAATAGAGTATCAGATTAGTACTAAGGAGATTCTACTTCTGTTCCATATTGTTCAGTTACCTGTTGGGTAGCATAGGTGAAGTGTCTTGCCCCTCTATGTCCTATTTTCTTTGCATAAAATCAAAAATAATTATAATGTATTTTAGGTTTTGTGGGAGATCAACACTATGAAAGTGCCAATTATATTTCAAATAGAAGTGAAGGAACAGTCTAATTCAGTAGAAATCAGAAAGCATAATGCTTCAAAAATTTTGCTTTGAATGGTTGTACCAAAACAGCTGCTTTTTGATTATTTCACCTTACTTTGGAGTCAAAATGTCTGAAACCAACTCAGTAGCTATTTCCTTATGCTCCTACTCTGTTTGCTCCTTGAAATCACTGCTTCTTATCTAAGATTGGGGTTTTATTGGTCTGTAAAGCTTTTTTTCAATTGCACAAGTAGGCTTTAAGGATATTAATAGATTCTTAAGTTTGAATTCAAGATCATTGAAAGCTTCACTAGAAAATAAAATTTAGAAATCATTCTTCCTGTGATACCTATGAATAAATAGCTCTTTTTCTTTTTCAACAGAAAAAAGACGAGACCCACCAAATGGTAAGCTTTTTGCATGAATCACTGCATTTTATTTTTTTTTTTTTACTGCTGTTATTTACTGTTTTTTGCATAGCTTTGTTTTGAACTTGTTCAGGAGAGTCATGGCAAAAGCAGTAAACTCTTACTCATAGAATCATATGAATCATAGAATGGTTTGGGTTGGAAGGGATCTTAAAGATCATCTAGTTCCAACCCCCCTGCCATGGGCAGGGACACCTTCCACTAGACCAGGTTGCTCAAAGCCCCGTCCAACCTGGCCTTGAACCCTTCCAGGGAGGGGGCAGCCACAACCCATCTGGGCAACCTGTTCCCATGTCCCATCGCCCTCATAATACAGGATTTCTTCCTTATGTCTAATCTAAATCTACTCTCTTTCAGTTTAAAACCATTACCCCTTGTCCTATCACTGCACTCTCTGATAGAGTCCCTCCCCACCTTTCCTGTAGGCCCCCTTTAAGTACTGGAAGGCCACTGTAAGGTCTCACCAAAGCCTTCTCTTCTCTAGCCTAAGCAACCCCAACTCTCTCTCAGCCTGTCCTCGTGAGGCAGGTACTCCAGCCCTTATTCTGGGGGTTAGTATATTTGTTTTGTTTCTGTTGTTTGGCATTTGTCTAGTTGTAGCTTGAAAGATTTGTGGCTTAGCTGGCATTTGTAAAGAATGCTTTTGGAGGAGCATGGTTTTTTTGCAAATAGCACAGAGACCCTTCAGCTTAAACTAAGAAGAAAACTTTGTACCTTTCAGTTGCTGCTTGGTCTTCAGAATATGCATATATAGGATCACTATATAGAACCTTGCTGAAATTAAAAGCCTGTTTGTCTGAAGGCAGGCATAATGATGACAGATAACATAAAACATCCATAAAATTTCAATTGTGTATCCAGCTTACTGTGTAACATAGCCTTTTGGTCATATATCATGCTTGTCAATGTGAAACTTCTTTGCATGAAGAATTATTTGAATCTGTTTGCCTCTCAAGAATATATCTCGCTGTCATGAAGATACATGTTCCTCAGGAGATCCCCTCATTAAATTGATGTAAGGAGTCAAAACTATGTATTAATTTGATCCAGATTTTTTTTTTACCATCTGATTGTAAAATCAAGTGAAAAATGTACATCAATGAATAGCAAGTTTGGGGTCATTGTAGTTCTGAATTCATACTGAAATTAAAAAGTGATTTCTCCTGTGATATTGCTGTTGGTGATCCAGATAGATCATATCACTATATGTGTTAGTTTGCTGCTTGAGCAAGGATATAGTCAGCTGATCATCTGAGGTCCCCTTATGGCCTGAGGAGATGGTCTTAAATTTGTACTAACCAAGACATGCAAGCATCTTGGTGGGTCACCAAAATAGGCAATCCTTAACTAGCCCTGAATTAGGGGAACTACTGATACCTCTTATATGCAGATAAGGCCTCCCTCATGTGGAATACTTCTCAAAAAATTACTCTTTCTTAAACATTCAGTTTTGAGGAAGTTCAGACAATCATCAGTTTAGGCCAGGCATTTTTAGTATCGATTCCTACAACGGTGACTGGGTTGTTTAGTTTTCAAACAATTATACTAATACCATCCAGGATTGTCTTACCAGCTTCTCTGAGCTTTCAGAAGGTTAACTGTTCTGCATCTTGACCAACATTTGCTTCTCCTCACAGTAACACAATTTGTTTTGTCTAGGGTGCTATCTGTGAGTGGAATAATACTTCAGAAAACTTAAATGTGCAAAAACTTCTGTGCTTCAAATACTCTCATAATTAATCCTATTAGACCTCAGGCAACAACATTTTTTTTTGAGAAAAAATACCACATACTAAACTTGCATCCATTGATCATATGCCTTTCTCTTGAATATTCTGTGGGACACAGAGGTTTATGACCAGTGTTTTAGGTTTATAATCACTAGTCCAAGCTCTGTGCATCTCTGCTTTTTTAGTAAACTGTTTCACTGGGAGCTCATGTACTCTTTCATGACCTGTCTATCTTCCTTTTTTTGATTCTGTCAAATTCTGTAGCGCCTGTCTTCTCTGCTGGCAGAGAGTTGGGTGTGTTCATGTCCTCTGTAGTTACAGGTGGGCCATGCTCGGGGCATGGGTTATAGCCTCTGCGTTTAAGTATGTGGAATTCAGACTAGAGCAGATATGTACTATCAGCGTGTAACTAGGAAAAAACTGTTGTAATATCAGCTGGTCTTTGTTTTACTCTCCATATGCAGTGTGAAATTCTATTGGGGGAAAAAAAAAAAAAGGACACCTGCTTTTTTTGTACCGAGTATCGGTGAATAATGACCTTTAAAACTGAAAAAGAAGAACAGTCACACTTTTGTACTCACATGATCCGTGCTTGAAATACTGTGGGGAATTTTGTTTTAGTAGGGCTTGTTTGTCTGGATTTTCTGCATATGCTGAAGCTGCATGGAAGAAGAATTCTGTCTTTCTGTATGATGTTTTCAATGGCACAGATTTAAGATTTTTGTTGTTGTTTCAGAATTGCGAGATTAAAATCAAATTGGCATTAACAGTTATGTAAAATGTATTAGTCTGTAATTTCACAGGATTTATGTTCTATTCATTTGTAATAGCTAGGTATGTCTATGCAAATAAAAAAGAGTTACTGTAGTTGAACTGACCTCAGCGAAGTTCTGGATGAAACAAGGATTTGTGAGACAATTAGGTTTTGAGGGAACCTTTAAGAACCACGTGGCAGAATTTTGTTTCAGCTGTTAAGTAGAACAGTTGGCATTTATTGTAGGGCTGTCTGTAGTCTAGGGCAGATGCCTAGAGAGGTTCTAAATAAAGTACAGAGCATTTCATAGAATTAACAATTCCAAATGTTTTGTACTACATTTTCTGGAGCCCCTTCTGAAGATGGCACAGATACTGATAGCAGTGGATACTTAAGGCCACTGTACTGTCAGGTACTTCCTAATGATGAGCTCTATATGCCTCTCTTGTCTTCATTTATTGAGCTGTCTATACTTGATGGGGAAGGTCCATGTCTTATGATGGGAAAAATTTTACTGGATATAAATATGGCAGTTCTAGAAGAGTACAGTTCTTTCCAAGGTTCTTTTATCCCTCATGGACATCTAATGTCTAAACTTGGTGGTAAGAAAAATTTTCATCCCTAAACTTTACTCTGATCACTTGTATGAATATTATTAATATTGAGGAATTGGGCTATCAGTCCTTAATTTGAACTCAGCTGAATAAAACTTCGGTTTGGAAATGGCTGCTGCTTTACTGGTTAAAACCATGTGTGGTTAGTTCAGGATTTTACATGCCAAAAGGTGCATTTTCAAGGACTGTTAGGAATCGTAAGAATATCACAAACTTCCTAGTGTTGCAAAAGTACGTGTTTCTTTCTGAAGGTCAGTACAGCTGTTGAAACTGAAAATATCGGTGTAATAGGTGAAAATAGAGAGGATATAATAGAGAAAATACAACGGGTGGTTAAAGTTAGCATTAAATTCACTAATCTTCAAATATCATCAACCCAAAACTTAATAAGTGGAGTTAAGTTAAATCTTCGGGATGAATTGAAAATTACAGTCTTAATTTCATTAGCTACAAAACCAAAAAAACATTTTAGGAGTTTATTTTCACTTTAAGTGGAACTTTAACAATGCAAATTGTTTTGCATAGTTGTGTGTGGTCAGTTTGTGCTTTGGTATTTCCAAATGATAGCTGTCTAGATCATAACGTTTCTAGATCAAAGCATTTCTGCGTAGCAGAAAACAATTTAGAAACAATTCTTCCTGCAGTTTCAATGAAGTCTTCAATCTTGACCTTTAAGACTCCTGTAGGAATGTAGGAGTTGTCATATGTTTTTAGAAGAGTTTTGTCTAGCCCTGTGTTGTGTTTCTGTTCTTGTTGCTTGTTCTGGCCAGTACTAGGTGCTTCCCACAGAGATATTTAAACTACAAGTGTTGGCAATGTTTCCCATTGTATTGTCTGCTTCTGCTTTCTGAATTGGACTTTGGACTGTGAAACCTAAGTCATCTTGGTCCTTTCTGAATGCCTGTAGAACTTCGAATTATCCATACAAAATGCAGTTATGAAAAAATAGTGTCAAAATAAGGTTCAGATTTATCAAAGTCTAATTAGAGTGTTTTATCATCTGCCCAGTAAGACTGGATGCATTAGTCTTGCTTTAATTGGTTTGCTAACCATTGGGTAGTAACTCCCAGGCAAGTGGAGGATGTTTTCAGACTATTTCTGGCCAAACTGGTCTTAAATTGACTGCTTAATCCCATTCTTCCAAAACTGAAATTACTTATCCTCTTTATAGTTTTCTTTAAAAATACATGTTTGTGTATACATACATACATATATATATATATGAAAAAGGAATAAGTTATCTCTTAGTATTTAAGTACTAATCACTTGCTTATGTCAAGTTATCTTCTGTTAAACTAAAAAAAAAAAAAACCTGTGTGAAAAGCATGATAGTATTACACGAGTAACATAGTATTAAAATGCTAAAATTGGCAGGAGTATAATTCAGATGCAATTTAAATAACTAGCATAATAATTCCTAATTGTTTATAATGAAGAATGGGGTTTGAGAACATTATTCATAATTTCAGTGTTTAATTTGTATTTCTGGTGCTGTTTTTACTTTCACTACTCTTCAAGCTCTTTCTTATCTGGGATTTCAGTTATTTTTAAACCTGTCAAGGTGTAAGACATAAGAAATCTTGAATAGTTCCATATATATTGTCCTGTATTTAAAGACACTAGTGTGTCCAGAGCAGCCTTCTGAAGTTCTTGTGATGTTCAGGTTCTGTGTGTGTTGGCAGAAAACATTCCCACTTGGGGCTTATTAAGCAAAGGTTCCCTCTCCTTTAAGATCAGTTTGCTGTGCTTCCAAGATAATGGTGTGCTGGGTATTACTATTTATGGCACTCAATTCTTTGATCTTGTCTAGGATTGTATCTATGCTGTACCTCAGTGTGTCTTATTCTATATGTTCTGTGCACAGAACTCTTTACTTAAAAATTGCTTTCTTTTCCAAATTTACAAAAAAAAACAAATTCTAGTTTAGAAAACTTTTCTGCCATTGCTCTGCTTTAGCAACATTTTTTTTTTTCTTCAGCAAATAACTTAGTCTATGTATATGACATCTACAACCCAGCAGGATAGCCTGATGCACGTGGCATGTAGGGCTATGGCTACAGTACAAGTATTTTACCACTCAGATAATTTTACCACTCAGAAAAATAGGGCTTTGTTGAAACACAATAGTAAAAATTGTATACTTTACCTTCACAGGCCCAAATCTACCAATGGCAACTGTTGATATCAAAAACCCAGAAATAACAACTAATAGATTTTATACTCCACAAGTCAACAATATTTCATATACCAAAGAAAAGAAGAAAGGAAAAACTAAAAAGAGAAGATTGACAAAAGCAGATATTGGAACGCCATCTAATTTCCAGTAAGCAGTTTTTTGAGTTTGTGTTTGGCTTTTTGTGGGTGGGTTTTGGTTTTTTTTTTGGTTGGGGTTTCAGGGGGTTTTGGGGGTCAATTACACTTGCATATGCTCAAGACTTGAATGTGTGACTGTTGTGTGTAACCTGAACTACAACAAATGCTAGCTGGAATGCTGCAAGGTTTAAAAGCAAGTTAGCTTCTACACAGGTGAGGAGTTGTCTGCAGCTCTAAACAAAAAGTAACTTGCTATCCTAAAACAGCTTAGAAAACCATCTAGCTGCATAGAGATGCCTTATTGAAGTAGTCAGCTCAGTGCAGGCTCATATTCAGTGTCAATGGTCAATTCAAACACTGTTACTCTTACAGCTGTGCCTCCTTATCTCTGCTTTGTCACGCAAAATATACATGCAGGTCCTGACTTGTCATAACAGCAGAAGTGACACAGCCTTTTTTTTAATCTCTGGCTTTTGTTTACAGATTTATTCTGATATGTGGGCTAACACCCTATCTTGTGATGAAAGTACAGCATGCATGTATACACCTCTTAGGACTGGGTTGGTTTTTTTGTAATACCATTTCTTACTTATCTTCAATCTTTTAGGATAGTTATGATGTATCATTTTAAGCTTCACTTTCATGACACTTTGTTTTAGTCACTACTGAATTAACTACTGTCTTCCTGAACTACAATTTGGTAGTTTAATCCTTCTGCCTTTTAAAATAAATGTACTTTATTTGCTAAAGCAACAGGAATTTCAAGAGCTTGAGCTAGTTACAGGAAAGATAAGTTTCCATGAAGTATTAGAAAACCAGCTCGAGGTTTACATGCCAAGCAAATGTCTTGTTCTTTTGAACCATTATTTTACATCACTTCACTGATGTGGTTTCCCAGAATAAAACTCCATAAAAGTAATGCTGGTATTACCAGTTACAGTAATGTTACTGCACAGTGGTTTGAGAGTGCTCTGTAGAACGGAATAGTGGACAGAAGGTAAAAGGAGAGATGGGCTAAAATGCTTCCCTAACCAGATTGTGCTTAGACAATTCAGATACCAACCACGTTCTTTCTGATCTGAGTACCAGTGAAGTGCTGCATCTATTTGTGTCACTTAAACTGAAAAATACAGGAAAAGAAGGAAAAGTGAGACAAAGAAAATTGAAGAATGATTGGTAGCTGGTCACTGTTGCTGCTCTACTAATGCAGACTTCATGCACAGACAAAATTGCAAATAATGATTTGCATTAGTGTGTCTTACCTCTGATCAGAATTTGTGGAAGGGGTTGTGCAGCAGCATACATATAAAATTAATTTGTGTTTTTGTTTATAATGTCTGTCAGATTCTGACCTAGAAAAGATGAGAATAAGATGATAAAATATTTAATGAAATTCAAACCAAAGATACATTCAAGTTTTATTAAATGTAACATTAAATTGTAAATGGTGAACCTTTGCAAAAGAAGATTGAAAGTCTATTTTGTTCAGTTTAATCTCTAGTTAACTTTCCTGTAGTGTAACTATGTGTCATCTTACTGTGTAAAATACTTTAATTGCTCGTTTTGTACAAACATATGGAAACTGGTGTTTGGTATTGTTAGGAAAATTTGCCAGTAAGATAACTTGTGTATAATTTGAGCTGTGATACAGGTGAAGACCAACACTGTCACTGTTTATGCAAAATCAAAGTTGCCATCAGTAGATAAAATTTCTAAATGCCTGCTGTTAGACAGATGTGGACTTCCAGTGTTCTGAGGAAAAAAAAAAATCAAAATCAACATTAATATAACATTTCTGTATAGATCCTTTTAAGTAGCATAAGAGTTGAAGTTACCTGGTAAGTATGCATTTTCATTGAAAAGACCTCTGAAAACGCATGTGTTGTAGTCAGTGTGTACAAGTAACTTATTTTACTCTGAGGGATGAAAAATAAATGAGAAATAATACTAACACTACTCTGTATAAACATCAGTATCAATTAAGTGCACTAAATTCTGAACTGTATGCTCACAACCTCTTAAAAGAGCATCCTGAGTTGCACAGATAGGCAGAAATATGCGGGTAAGATTGTATTGGCTGGTAAATTTCTGTCAATTTACACATGCCAGTTAATACATTACAGTTGAATATTGGACTGTGTTGGGAAATGCATGTCTAGTTATACGAAGCAAGCTGTACAGAATTCTGTAATCAATAAATCATTCCATACTTTGATAGTGAAAGGCATTTAAATATTTAAGCAAAACAAGGGGCTTTCTTTTCTTGCTTTTTCTGTAACAATGCCATTTTAAACCAGATGTTTTCTTCTTACCCCTCAGACTAAGTAGTTAACCAGTCTTAGTTACACCAAGACCAAAACTGACCATTGAGCCTTCAGTACACTCATTAAGAAAGCTTGTGCTGTTGGTGGTACTAACAGACCCAAGCAAGAATGCAGGGTCTGCTGCGCTAGGCACCTTATAAGGACAGCAACATAGTCCTTGTAATTTGACAAGCTTAGCCTAAACTCTGTTGGCTACTAACAGCTTGTCTGGTATTTTTCAAACTGAGCTGGACTTTGAGGGCTGCACTGAGTTTCTACAACTGGCCACTGGCAAAAAGAAACCCAAAACATGGAGTGCTGGTAACATTATGGTTCTGTCTTCTGTAGCCAACAGTTGTTGCATGAAGTAGCTTGGAGGGGCACAAACTCTTCTGCCTTTTTAGGGGATTATAGCATCACATAAAATAATACTTCAGTAGCCACGTGAAATGGCTGCCGGAAGCCTAGGAAGATGGCAACTGAAAACAGGCCTGACTTTTCCTTGAGAGAAGTGAATGGGAGGAGGGTGATGGGAGAACAGTCATGACAGGGAGGAGGAAGATTTCTAGCTGCATGACGCTGACCTTGGCAGTAGCTCCAAGTCCAGTTACTATATAAAGGCTAAACTCCCTTGATCTCTGCTCAGTCCTTCCATCGCCATCCATACGCACCACAGGGTGGCACGGGTCCTTCATGTTTTGCTACAGACCATAACCTAAGTGGCTAATGACTTTTCCACTGAGTGTTTTAGATGCAAGACAAAAAATGGGAGTTTTAACACTGTTCTCAAGTGGGGCACTGAAGAATAAGAATTGCTTAGTGTCTTAATGAGACTGGAGGCAGAAGCTGGTAGTAATCTCCAGTTTCTTGCTGTCCTGTTATTTTAGTTAGCAAGGTCATTTTTATGCTGATTAAATGGACTTTTCTGTTGTGGTTTTTTTTTTTTTTTTTTTAGGCACATTGGGCATGTTGGTTGGGATCCAAACACAGGTTTTGATGTAAGTAATTTAATAAAATATTCAAGACACTGAATGATTAAAAGCTTTTGAGGCATTTTAATGCAGGTTGTGAAGACTGACATTAAATAAAAAATTAACTGTACATCAAAATCATTACATTGTTATTTTTATAATATGATGCAAACATAGATGTTGGAGTAGAAGGGAATAGGAGGGACCCAGGATTGATGGAAAAGATGCAAAATTTAAGTTTTTGTGCAAGGTACCTCTCCTAAAATAGTTCTCTCTGACTGAAAAGTCAACCCAGAGACACATGTACTTGGCCTTGCTATTCCTTTTAACTACATAGTTTGTGAGTTTTTTCTAATACAAATGATATTTAAAAAAAAAATAATCTTCTGTTTCAACCTACTTTAATCTGTCTGACTTGCAGGTGAACAACTTAGACCCAGAACTGAAAAACCTGTTTGATCTGTGTGGAATTTCAGAAGCTCAACTAAAAGACAAAGAAACTTCAAAGGCCATATATGATTTCATTGAAAAAACAGGAGGTGTGGAAGCCGTTAAAAATGAACTGCGCAGGCAAGGTGGGATTCCTTTTATTTCCACGTAAAAATCAGCAGGGCATTTTTTGCCTTAAGGATAAAAGTAGAAGCTGTTGATCATGAGCAATTTTTTATTCTGTTCTCTGGACTTCATGTCACTGCAGTTGCACTGGATTTCATAATGTTTCTGTACACTGTACGCTATGTAAAAATGTTCATGCATGACCCATAATAGTACTTGTTCTCTAAAGAATAAGAATCTTATCTGTGTCAGTTGAGTAATTTCCAGTAAATCTGACTACAAAGCTATGCAATATGTTCAGTGTAGATTTTTCAGATTGTGTCTGTTGCATATTTATTTATAATCTCAATCTTACGAAGAAATTAAAATCTTAGAAGCCATATAGTCGTTGTCAGTTGTAGTAGTACTACATGGCTGACACAGGTACATATGGTGCCTGTTTACCCTGGCCTCACTGTGTAATGAGCCTTATAACAGATAGACACCTGCAAATTTTATATGATTTTTTTTTTCTAATTTAAGCTACAAATTGGTAGTTTTGAGGAGGCTTCTGTGGCAAGAAAATTCTCAAATAAGCCATTTCCTTCCTAACCTGTAAATGTGATCTTAGCTGATGCATTATCTCGTGGAACATAACAAGTCAGTCTGAAAATTACACTGCCAATGTAAAACTTCCAAAAATTTGCCTAGAACTTTTCTCAAGAGAAATAGGATATAAATGCCATTGAAATCATAGCAGTTTGAAACTACTGAATAAATTGTTGGAGTTGATTGAAGAGATACAGATTCAGGGTACAATGACTTGTTACATTTGTTCCTTAGGTCCCCCACGGTGGAGCGGTATGTATTTGAGCTGGCATCTAAGCATATGCTTCAAAGTATTCATGCTGCTGTGTGATTTCTTTCCTAGATGAGAAGCCTTAGTCTACATCTGTTTGACTGCAATACTAAAAATTATAGTCAAACTTCTTAGTTAAATTGCAAGCAAAGTTTCAGTTGTTATTTTTTTTTTTCCTCAGGAAGAAATCTGTCAGTTTCTTTATATAATCTTAACTCTGTTTAAATGTTTACGGAGTTGTTGATCCCAGACTGCTGACCATAAAATTGGATTGAGAAGACTTGCCTTGGAGTCTTATGACTAGCTTAAAATACTTTAAAAATGCCTATTTTTCTATTACGTATGTGTTATAACTTCACGTTACAGCCACTTGCATGTGTGCAATTGAAAGAAAAGCTGCCTCATCTTTAACATGCATGATAATAATCTACCTCTGTGCTTTTTGATAGAGGTAGATAAACCCACTGAAATACTGGAATAGTTTATCCGCAGTTATGTTACTTGATGTGTAGGCTTGACTACTGTTTGAAGTGTTCTTTCTCAACTGAAACACATTTTTCTGTGTTTATTGCAAGAATTTCTGTGCCTGCATATTCACCCTGATAGGATGCTGACTAAAGAGTTACAGACACATTATTCTGCTTAGATAGAAGTTACTTCCCTATTTTTCCTGCACTTTCTCTAGTTTTGGTACTGTTGGTTGGGTTTTTTTAGACAATACCATCAATAGAAGATTTTACAAACTTTTTGTTAATAGCAGTGTTCAGATCAATGTGCATTTATAAAAAAAAAAAAAAAAATTATTTTCTTGCTTTGCTTGTACCATCTGTTTGGGGGGGTAAGGGAGAAAGGATGAGGTAATGGTGCTCCTTCCTTGTTCCTTTTCCCTCGTTGCACTTTGAGTGCAAGCAAGCCTTATAAAAACTCCTGAACTCTTTCCACAGATTGGATGTGGCATATCTCTCTTTAGGAGTGATGCAAATAAACCCCTTCCCTGCAGGAAAACTTAAAGCCTGTGTTCAAAATCTTCAGACACCACAGACTCGGGAGCATGACTATGTTGTATATCTTTTCAGTAATAGAGAAGAGCTGTCTGTAGGGCTTGCTGAGTAAGTTCTGTTTGAAAATACTGGCCTCCAATGGCTGAAGAGGAAACTACAGTCATGTCAGCCAAAAAGTGGTGGGGTTTTTTAAAATCAAGAATGCTGGCAGTATCTCTCTTGGAAAATATATGAAGTTTGAGAGGAGATTCTCCCCATGTTGTCCTTTTGAAACGATGCAAAAAAACAGAGCAGTTTGTGGAACTTAAGAACATAACACATAATTTTAGGAGGGGTATGTTTCTCTAAGGTGAGCAGGCAGGAGGCACTGAGCCACTAGTGTCTCCTACTTCCCCAAAATCCCTTTTTTAGGGATGTCCCCTCTGTATTTCAGTGCAGACAGACTTCTTTCTCAGCATGTAACAGGAAGGAGATAACAGAAGATATAAAGAAGTATCTTCTTGAGTGTAATACCTTTTTCATTATGAAAGCATATGAAATCAAATGTGAGTTTTCTTAGTTATATGATGGCACCTGGGTTATTATGTAGTTACGTGCAACAACCACACAACTTAAAGTACCATAAGCCATTAGATGCTTAATGGAAGAGGAAATGAAACGGTGCTGTTTAAAATGCCATTAGCAGAGCAAGTACATTCAAAGGCCACTTCATATAGAAGTGATGCTGTTCATTGAGGTGACCCTGAAGTTGTTTCCTTTCTACTGTCCTGATAAAGATATTGTTGGAACTCATTTTCAGTAAAACGGGCTAAGATTCAGTTTACCCTGCATCGTAATGCACTATTAAGTTTTTTTGTTACTGGATGATGTTGCTAAAAAAATACTTGCCTCTGTAATTCCCTAATAAGATAAGGGATAGATTATAAAGTGGAAATTCTGTATTTCACTGTGTTTTCTAAAACCTGTTTTTCTTGCCGTCTGTCCTAGCTCAACAAAATTTTAGTGGATTCTTTTGAATTTTTTTCTGCATTTTGTCATGAGAAATTGAAACACTGACTTAAGATACACTTGGATTATGGAGAAAATTACTAACATAGGAACAAAACAAAATTAATGACCAAGTTTGTTTTGTGACTTTCATTAGTCTTTTTACGTATTGTACTTGTTTCCTGCAGTGTTCTTTTACAGATACACAACAGACATAGGGGCTATATTCAGCTTGGTTTGCATTCATATAAGCATATCTTACATCCAGCTACAGTTAACTTAATCCAGAATTGGTAAGATTTGCCCAGGCACAGAGATCCTTGCAAAAAGCAAAGCAAAGCCTTTTTTCTTTTTCCAATAGCCTTTGAAAGACTTATGGGTATTGCGCAGCATGTAATTGTAAATTGTTTTGTTTCATTTCAGCTCCACCTCCACCACCACCGTGCAGAGGAGGACCCCCTCCACCTCCACCACCACCTCCCCATAGCTCGGGCCCTCCTCCTCCCCCTGCTAGGGGCCGAGGGGCACCACCTCCTCCTCCTTCAAGAGCTCCCACAGCAGCACCTCCACCCCCACCTCCATCTAGACCTGGTGCAACAGTGCCCCCACCTCCTCCAAACAGGATGTATCCTCCACCACCACCAGTGCATTCATCATCTGCACCATCTGGCCCTCCTCCACCACCGCCACCACCCACGAGTGGGTCATCTGTTCCTCCACCACCTCCTCCTCCTCCTCCCCCTCCAGGTCCTCCTCCACCACCAGGCCTTCCTTCAGAGGTTGATCACCAGCTTCCGGTTCCTGCAGGGAACAAAGCAGCACTCTTGGATCAAATCAGAGAAGGAGCTCAGTTAAAGAAAGTGGAACAGAACAGTCGACCAGTGTCCTGCTCAGGAAGGGATGCACTGTTAGACCAGATACGACAGGGTATACAGCTGAAATCCGTGAGTAAAAGCTGCTTCTCACCTATGTCCCCTTGGGGCTTGCAAATGGCTGCAGTATTGAAGTGTGAATTGTGAAAACTGTGGCTCTGTTTTGGGCTGGATCTAAACTTTTAGAGTTTTTGAAGTGATGCTTTAAACAGTAGTACTGAGAAAACGCATAGAACACATATTTGCTGTAGATGAGTATTGGTGTATGAAATTATTATTGTTTCAAACCAATTTCTCACTTTTCAGTAAAGCTTTAAGCATAAATCCTACAATGATGATAGCACAGTATTGTGGCAGTAAAGAACTTTTGCAAGAACTGTGACAGATGGCTGGTCTGAATACGTCAGTAAAGTTGTCTAAACAACTGCAGGGGATGAATGAGGCAAACACTAGATTTTTTTTTTCTTTATTTTTTTAATTTTTATTTTTTTCCCATCTTAAAATGGACCTGTGCTCTGCAAACATTGTGGCTTATAAGAAGGTGGCTGCCTGCATCTGGAAAAGTGCAGCCTGTGAGGGATGCCTGTATTGTTCCTGCTGTAGCTCAGGCTATTTATTACTATTTCTTCTTGATGTCACTGAATATCTTAAAAATAATTTTGACTCTAGGTATCTTTCTGTTTTGCCGCTCTTCTGCACTTGAGGCTTCTGATCTAAAGAGTGTGATGGCATGTTAATATTTATTTGTCATTGCATGTGTGCAGTATCTAAGTCTATTACTTTACGAAGGGTTTATCAACTGAAAGCAGACCTGGTTAACAAACCCAAACAAGCAAAAATATTTTGTGGCGTTTACTAAGGATAAGATAAATACTTATTGTGCAGCCACACAAGTCAGGCCTGTACAGCCATATTTAGGAGCTTTCCTTTAGCTGTGCGCTCATTTCATCATAGTCAGAGCTGAAATATTTAATCTAAAGGACGGACTAACTACAGTGGTGCTCTATGGAAAAAGGGAGGTTGACTTTTTCCTAAATTAAAACTTGAACTAAAGAAACAAACTGCAGTTTCACTCTTCCTTCTGGGTGAAAATAAACTCATTAATCTTATAAGGAATTTTGTCTTAAACACAGCTTCTGTTTTGCTAATTGCATCTTTTGAATGTATCTTTTTTTCCCAAGGTATCTGATGGTCAGGAGAGTGCACCACCTACACCTGCACCCACCTCAGGAATTGTGGGTGCATTAATGGAAGTTATGCAGAAAAGGAGCAAAGCCATTCATTCTTCAGGTCAGTCTGATGGAATTTTTCTCACCTCGCTATGTCAGGTGTTCAAGAGTTAACATTTCTATTCAACATAAAATATTGTTGGAAAAAAACATGGATTTAAACATGCAGCCCAATACAGAATGCCCTGGGCAGATTCCTAGTGATGGGTTGAATGGTTACTTCATGCTACTTTGAATTACTGGCGTTATAGTAGTTTGCAGTAATACTGAAGTAAAAATTGCTAATCAGGGTTAACATCCTTATAAGGATATTTTGTTGTTGTTGTTAACTGACTTATTTTTATCCACTAGATGTCTGATGAAGTAAGTTGTCAAAATATTTTGGGAGGAAAGTTTTTAATGCTTTCTGTTTCTAGAAGCCGAAGCTCTTGAAAAGATTCATGCTCTTGAAACTGGCTTCCAGTGTGCTTTGGATGCCACCTGATGGATAATAATCAGATGGCTAGTGTTACTTGACTAGTCCTGCACTGATACTGAATCAACTTGTCGCATTTCAGTGCTTGGAAGAAATAAGGCTGCAAGAGGATTTGCATTTCTCAAATAGCAGCTTGTAATAAATGCATTTCAGTAGCTGCAGTGCAGCTGTTTGTTTACATCTCTTTTGTTTAGGCTTTGATATACTTTTCTTCCAGACCTTGCCTTGATACCAAAACTGTACCTGCAGTTTGCAGCCCATTAGACTAAGTGCAGTAGGGTTTGTTGATTTGCTGCCCTATGTTGTAATCTCCAATTTTGGTTCTTTACATAAATTAAACACCGGAAGAGTGCTAAATATATATCATTTTCATAGGGAAGGAAATGCTCTTGCCTAAAGAATTTTTGAATCATTATACTTATAAAAATAGTGGAAGGCTGAATAAAGCTAACAACAAACATTGATGTTGCAGTTGACAGGCGTTACACAGTTTAGAATATTTTAATAGCCACAACAGTCTTTAGCTCACTTTTTTTTTTATCTGCTTGTACTATAAACAGAAATCCCATTATATAGTAAACATGGGGAAGCAGGTCTTACATTTCAGAAATTAATCTGTCCTTGAAGTTTAAAAGCCAGTCTGGAGCAAGCTGGCCACTCTCACGTTCTCTGAGAAAGAATAATAAGTAGTGTTTAAATGAGAGCTTTTGATTCTTTATCTCCTGGCAGAAAACAAGATACAATTTTCCTACCTGAGGAAAGGAGTGAGAAAGGAAACAAATTAGATTTAACTTTCAGCCAGTATCTATCCAAACTGAATGTCATGTCTAGAAATCTTAAAATAGAGTATTACCACATGTATTGTCGTGACCTCCTTGAGCTGATTGTTCTGTTTTCAGAAAGGTGTGGGAGAAATCAATAACACTTTTGTCATGTTAATTCAGTGCGTGCAAGTGACTTGCCTTTTTTGTCTCACAGATGAAGATGAGGATGAAGATGATGAAGAAGACTTTGAGGATGATGACGAATGGGATGATTGATCATATATTATTATATATATATATTTTTTAAGGTGAATGATATACTAAACACTACTTTCTGTCTATGGATTCTGTAAAATTATCATGTAAATGTTCTACCAATTTGCTGTATATTTTTGTTGCCTTTTGCTTTTTTATTAATCTGTGCAATACCTCATTTAATCTGTAAAGGTTTGTCATAATCCTCTACAAAGCTACTCCCTGTTAATGTGTGCAAGTTTACACCTGGATGATCATGTACATGTGAATACTTTCCATTCCATCAATAAGGGAGTTTAAATGTAATATGTGAGACTGACAAAAACCTTAATGTAATTTAGCTATAATGCAAGAAGGAAAACACTATTTTCATACCCTACTTTTTCTGTATCTAAATTTTCTTATTAAAACCTAGTATAGCACTATGTTTCTTTAAGTGATGCAGCTCTTAGTTTATTTAGCCCCTTCATTTCAAATGCAGTGCTACATGAATGTTGAGGCTGGTTTATACTATTGCATGGTTTCAAATACATCACAACATTGCAGTTCAAATCTTAGCAGTATGCTTTATATAAAACAAAATCACTGCAGAAATGCACAGCTAGTTGTGAAGATTACCTTGCCCTAACTGTAGCAATACTGACTGCTATTGAACAGCAGTAGTAATGAAACCCTTCAATTAGGGACCTCTCTATCTGAAGTTAAACAGGGTGGCTTTACATTGTAATAGTGGTAAAGGCAACTTTGATGCAGACAAGTTCAGTCTTTTTTTTTTTTTTTTTGTCTTTCCCAGTTCTTACTTTCAGAATGAAAAAGTGAAAATTACTGGGGGTTATACTGGAGGCTGGCAATTGCTACAGTTTGGTTTATTCTTAAAATCAATTTTATGTGGTTTTCAGGCTGAAGGGCTGCATTTAATGCTTGCTTCAATAATGTTTAATTACTTTTTAAAATTTGTAGGACATTGGTGTACTAATAAAGTAAACATAAGTGGTATTTCTTTGCAGTCTTTGCGTTATGGTACACAACAAATGCTGAAGCACCAATCCTACATTTGTGAAGTTGGAAAACCATTAACTCAGATATACACTTTGAATAAGTACTGAACTTTGTGGCAATATTCTATTGTTGGCTTTAAGACCAAGGGTTGTGATGAAGATCAAGAACCCAATTCACAAGATAGTAGTTGAATAAGTGGACAGAAAATGGGATTCTTATTTCACAGCTTGCACATTTATATAAGTTGTGCTTTGTAGTGCAGTAAACATTGGCATATCTGCCTATTACAAAACACTAATCTATGCTATGTGGGTATTTAATATCTGCAGCATTAATTACTGTACTTACTGTAACTTTCAGGTAGAAAATCTTTTTAAAAACCACATTATCTGACACAGAATGTTTAGTTAAGTCAGTCATATTTGGCATGTAGTTAATGCATAGTGTCCTGGCTCTTTGACTGTAGTCAAGCTATCAAACTAAATTTAAGTTATCAGAGTTGTATTGACTGAAACCCGGTGTTGACCTGATCTTGACAGGCTGGACCTGCATGATACGGCTTGGATTTCTAACCCAGTTATAACCTAGTCTTTAGCGAATTAATTTAGTCACATGAGAAGAAAGGAAAGTTGCTGAAAAGTAGTGGGAGGTAAGGTTGTAGTTAAATTATTCAGAGGATGTTAACTCCCTTCCAAGAGTAATTTAAGCACATAACTTGAGGAAAAAAATTTCCCAGTGGTCTTACCTTCCTGCAGTAACTTTTGCGTTGCCCTCTGCTGCTAGAAACACTTCTTTCTAGCTTTGCTGCTGTAATGGCTTGAGCATTGAATCAAGTGCAAGTGCAGCCTGGGGTAGCTAATGGCAGTGGAGTTGAGAACTCCTCTATAAGGAAAATATTTATATGGCTTTCATATAACTTCTGGCATTGCTCCTTTATTTTTTATTGCATATAGGGCATTTTAAAATTAAGCAGATGAGGCCTAGAGGTGTTCCTAACATGCTACTTACTAGATATGTTTAGCTGTTATGTTCCCACAATTGGAATTTCTGTAATATAGTTAATAATTAAGCATCACAGTTCATTAATCAAATTTCTGTTCCAGGTTTTGGGAGCTCTGAAGTTACCGTATTGAATAAAACATTGATTTGTAGATAATGGCCAAAGAAAGCTTTTGGGTTTTCTATTTCTTCGTACAAAAAGTACACTCACATTCTGTGGTGTCCAGGTTAATATTTACTTTAAAGTAGTGTTTGTACATGATAAATTTCAGGCATAAAGACTGCAATGGCAGTTAAGTTAGTCATAACTGCATGCTTCAGCACTCCACCACTTGCACTATGAGCAGAAGATAACATTTCATGATACTGGTGCATTGTTGCTAAACATTGTAATGAAGGCCTCTCTTACATATTCTGGTTAAATGACTGTCCAGATAGCCTTAGCAATTAACAAACTAGCATGAGGCTTTTGTATCTCAACACTCTATGTGCATAGACAATATCAGCTAGCCACTTGTACGTATGAAATCCGTAAGAACTTCTCAATCATTCAGTTTTCCATTTATCGAACTGAAATTTTTAGTATGTGAATTTTTGAAATGTACAGTCAATAGGATGTTGCACTGGTGGCAATTCATCATGGAGCATAATAAAATTAATTTGACCCAACTAGTGTAAAACTGTGTGGTTTTTAAGTGCTAATTGTGGCAGAGCTTTTAAAATAGATCTGCATATTGATTACACACTTTAAAAGTAACTTTGGTCACCTAGCCAAGTTTGCAAAGCAGTAAATAGCCGCTGTCAAATCGCAGCAGTTTTTGTGTCTCTGGAAAGTTGGCCTGTGCTAGTGAATAAACACAATGAGTAAGAATGTGACACCCTGTCCTCCTGGCAGATCTCACAGCTGCCCAGCAGCTTCTCTGGAAACAACTACTGCTGCAGGCAAGTGCAATAATCCAGCAACAGTTCAAGGTCAGACAAACAGGGCTTCATTAATAAACACTCTAGAAGGGGTATTAAGTAGTTAACTTTTGTCAATGAGTGCTCTAACTTTGACGTTTTTACAGATGTAAATCTTTGTCTTGCTGTTGTAATGTTTGAGCTTGGGACACTTCAGAAGTCTGCTTTTCTCCTCTAGAGTAGCTGGGGAGTCTCACATTTTGAATTTATGTGGTGTACGCTTTCCTTTGAAGTTTAGTACTTCTGTGATTTTTAAGCCTTAAGTGCAAGGCAGAGTTGGAATTGTTACTTGCAGGGTGTGCTGAGGTATATAATTATTTCCCCTCCACTTAGAAGCTGAAAACCTGCTTTTGAAAGGAGGCTTTTCTTTATTTTTTTTTCTTTTTTTATTTGACAATGGTTACTTTCCCAACTAAGAGTAAAGAGGAAAAAGGAGGAGAGATCCTTTTGTTTTTGTTTCAGACTGTTACCAATCCATTGCAACACCAGTATTTATCTAATCATTAAAGGAATTCCTGGTCTAATTAAAGTTCCTGAAGCTTAAGTACAGTGATAAGCAGCTTTATTTATAGAAAAGTGAAAACGGTTTAGGGAAGCTTAGAAGATACTAAACCTCTGTCTCTCAAAGGACCAGTGTTACCCTCTAGCACTGCAGTGAGGACTCCTGTTGCTATGTATTTGTTTACTGCCTGGAGTTTTCTTGTGAGTGATGAAGGAGAGGGTAGGCTAATACGAACTAGAATGTGAGCTGTGGAGGTTTAATGTCCGTGTTTAAGCCTGACACTCTCCTCTAATGCAGCGTTCAAAAGTTTGAGGATGTTTATACAATTGTGGAAGAGTCTTTAATCACCAAACTGCTATGGCACATCTGCTTGAAAAAATAAACCATTGGTTTATCACAGATTTGACACTAATGCAGATACATTTTGAGAAGTATAATCATTGCATTAATATTGAAATATAAATTATAAGTTGTTTTCTGACAAGTTTTATTTCATGCTGCATTTTTGTCAGGTAACCTGATAAAATGAGTTAGAATAGTAATTTATCAGGTATTCAAATTTTCGTCTGATGTAGTCTTGGGTAGTACCTGCAGGACTTGCCCATCTGTAAATAGCTTAATACACACCTGAAATTCTGAAGCTTGTTATTTTATATTTATTGTGGGGTTTATCTGTCAGTACAATAGACTGACAAACATACTTAAAGGCCTCTTTGCTAGTTCTCTAAAGAGTTTTTGGAGTTATCTTGGGGTGAAATTCCTGAGCCATTACTTCATGTGTATGTGTTTTCCCTCCCTGAAGCTTAATCATCTTTTTGTTACTTGAGCAGTATGAACTTGAAACTTTTCACTTGAGGATTGGATGAGGGGGTGTAAGGTTTTCTGAGGAAAAAACTTCAGCGAAGTTTTAAAAAAAAGAACGAGTTCAAAACCAGCCATAACCCGCATTATATTTTTGTATGTGCCAGCTGGGGAACACAATATGATCTGGAGTTTAAAGCTTAAGAAATATGATAATGCTTGTGTCTTGTATCAGACAAAAAGTATTTGCTTAAATGACATCGGCAGGGACACAAAATAGGGAATCAGCTCGTCTGGATGTTGATGCCAAAAAACAGGGAACTGCCAGAGCAGTTGAGCTGGATTTAGAGCCCTTTGTTGGTATAGAGGACTTTCCTAGATGCTCAGGATACAAGCTGCACTGACTGACAGACTATTGAGAAATCTGCATTGGTTTTTTCTTTTTTTTTTTTTTTTTTTCTTTTTTTTTTTTTTTGTTGCTAGATGCTACAATAAACTTTTTCTGGTTAGAATAATCTTTTGGATCAAAACTGCTTATTTCATCACCAAGGGAAGAAATGATGCATTTGTCAGGGTTATGCCTGTTCAATTGTCAGCAGAGAATCTGTCTTTATTTTTAAATTAAAAATAAAATGGAAAATATGGTCTAGACCGAGTTAACGTAAAACACATTTTCTGTGGTTCGCCTCCTGTGGGTCATGTGTGTAAGCATGAAAGGCAAGTAGATAAAGTAGAAATCTGTTAGGTAGTAGCATTCTCTTTCAAGGTCCTACATCAAGAATTAAGTTTTCATCAGTAGTAGCTTTAGTACCTAATTCTTGGAGAATATATTACTAAAACTTATCTGCTGTGCCCAAGACAGGTAAGAGGAAAATTAGTTCTGGAGAGCAAGTGAGCCCCTCTGCTGTCAGTTGTGTTAAACTGCCTGGGTCTGTGTTTTATCTTTTTGACTGTGCTAATAGTGAGTTATCGGGGACAAAAACAAATAGCAAGCTCTTTGTATCAAAGTTGGCACCAGGAGCACATGACAAGGAAGATACAGATTATGATATAGCTGTTGGGTTTGGTTTTGAAATGGGGATGCTGTTGCTTAGTTTTCAGTCTCCCATCCAGCTCAAATCTAGGTTCTGTGCTGCCCTTTCCATATGTGAGTAGATATACCTGGATGAAAAGCATAGCCGGATGGTACCTGGACCTTTTCATTTCTTCACCATGTTTACATGTTGGCAAACAGAAATGATACATCTTTAGAACTATTTCTAGATGACTTTTCCAAAAATTCTGTCCAAATGGCATACTGTGGTTTGGAGAGGGAAATACTGATTTTCTTGGCAGGAGGTCTCCGCTCGGACTCCGTGTTCTTAGAAAAGTATTTGAATATGGCACATTACATTGGTAATCTGCTCCTCAGCCAGGCAGCCCATCACATGTGGGTTACTCCTTATGGAGAAAATAGTTCTTAAAAACCTACTGTATATTCCTTATGAATTACCCTAATTCTAATGCAAGCTATCAGATAAAGCAGAATTCTTATCAGACTAGTATTAAAGGAGAGCTCCCAACATTCAAGACCTCAGCCAGCAAAATGCCTTGAGAAGGCAGCACAGCCCTGCTAGGATTTTTTAGTGGCCAAAATTTAGATAAATACATGCCAAGAGTGTTTAGAGACTGTAAAAAAAAAATATATATATATATATGATGACAAGTTTTCAGAACTGGACCAACAAAGTCAGTAAAGCAAGATGAGGACAAGAAAAACTATGAAATCATTCTGTAATGGTTAAAGGTTCCCTTTTGTGCTATAACATATTCCATGCTTGCCTTACAGGAGCAGGGATGCTCTTCTGACTCCTGCTAAACTAATGCCCTACCCAGATAATGGAACACATTATCACATCTCAGCCCTTACTACCCTTGGCCATTCTGGTCTTCGCTGCCAATGTCTTGTTCCTGGACAGCTCTCCAAACCTCATGATAAAAGTACAGTTAGCACGATTGCCTAACAAATTCCTTCATCAGCCTACAGCATGCAGCCTCTGTGTAACACAAGCCATTTCAAAGTGAACAGAAGTTGTCCTGTTGTGTATTCCTCTTTGGGTCAAAAATGGACATACCTACATAGCTGAAGAATACTCAGAGATGTTAAATCACTGTCCTGGGTTGAGTGAGTGGTGGAGTTTTTTGGTGGCAGGGGAGGGGGCTATCGGGGCAGCCCCCTGTGAGAAGCTTCTCGAAGCTCCCCCAGTTCCACGTCAGCTCCACTTCTGTTTGGGAAATTGAGCCAATCGGCTGCGCCTCTGCGATAACGTATTTAAGAAGGGACGTGGTGACGGGCAGTGGGACTGGTGAGGAGGAGTTGCTGCAGCTGCATGAACACCAAGGTCAGTGGAGGAAGAAAGGAGGGGGGAGGTGTGCCGGAGCAGAGACCCCCCTGTATCCTGTGGTGAGACAGCAGGGTGGTCCCCCCTGCCACCCATGAAGATCTACGGTGGAGCAGACATTGATTTGTGGCCTGTCGTTCCCGCTCGGATGATCAAGGTTCTGTGCCCGAAGAAGGCCGGGGTCTCGTGGGAAAAGGTAGCCCCGCTGCTGTAATTCAGCACTGGGAGGATTGCAGCATGCGGGGGAGTCCCACACCGGAGCAGCTCGGGAAGGGCTGCAGCCGTGGGAGAGAATCCAGTCGGAGGAAGTTAGTGACCCATGACGGAGCAGTGTGGGGAACGCTGCAGCCCATGGGAGGAATTCATGTTGCAGAAAGTTTGTGGAGGACTGTCTCCTGTGAGAGGGAGACCACGATGGAGCAGGAGGAACAAGTTTTGGACACTCCCCTCACCGAACATGAAGGAAGTGGCAGCGCTGACTGCACCCCCCATTCCCTGCCCCTGCGCCACTGGGGGAGGAGGCAGAGATATCGGGAGCAGAGCTGAGCCCGGGAAGAAGGGAGGGGTGGGGGGAAGGTGTTCTCAAGATGGGGCAATGCTTCTCACTGTCCTACTCTGTTAAGTGTTGTTAGTGTCTGTAATAAATGTATGTTCTTTTTTTCTTCCCCTAACGAGTCTGCCTTTTGCTCGTGATCATAAAAGGGGGATTTTCCCCCATCCCAGTCCTATCTCAGCCCCCAAGCCTGGCTCTCTGTCCCTTCTCATTGCCGGAGGGGAAGGGAGAGAGAGGTGCTGCATTGTGGTTGGCTGCCAATCAGGCCTAAACCATGACAATCACCAATGGAGAAAGCTTTGAAGCTTTGTGCTGATTGCTCTAATGAGCAACGTGAGAAATGGGTGGCTGGTCAAAGGATAACTGTAATTCAAGATGCGTTCTTCAAGGAGTCAATCCAACATAGATCCCTGCTGGCATAGAAAAACAAAATACTGGAAACTTGCTTTGCTGCTGGGCGTGTTGTCTGGTC